GGATGTGGAAAGCTGCAGGGACGCGCAATAAATATTGCAAGATTTAATCCGACTGTTTCCAATGCCGGCTTTACGTTCTTCCCCGGTTTTCCTCTCAATGCCCGTTTGCCATTCCTCCCTGCAAACGACCACAAAAGAAATAAATCCTTGCAATAAGCAAGCACGTGCTTTCAATTTCGCCGCTACTAAGATTGTTGGCTGAGCAGGTACAAAAACAGCCAGGGAAATGATTGAAGCCTGGGAAACGGGCCCGTTGTCAGCCAACAGGAGTGCTGATTTACCAGCAGAGTATCAGGTAACTTAGAAGCTGAGGACTTGGCAGCAGATGACAATAGCCACCCATCAACCCCCCCCCCATCAACAACTGAAAAGCCACACACAACAGGCACCACATAAATATCACACAAAGAATAGCCCAAAGCACGTACTCTGCTAGAGAAAAGTTCTCTGAGGAGGGTGCTCCAGCACAAGTCCCTGTGGTCCCAGTGACTGACCCGGGTCGGATCCTGCGAAATAAATCTAGTATGCTGGATTTGTTTGGATTATGTACAAGCCGGCCCACTCCAGCAGGGCAATTCTGAGTGGCATGCGACAATCACTGAGCAGAAACTCAGAGGGAAAAAAAACAGATGCCACCACACCAATTAAATGGCAATTGAAACTAAATATATATATATGTAAGGAACCTTAGGGCTTCTATTGCTGAAAAATTAGTTTTCCTTATTCTGAGGCTGGAAACAGCCCAGAACTGTACAGGTGGTTCTCCACTTACCACACTTCATTTAGTGACTGTTTAAAGTTACAACGACACTGAAAAAAGTGACTGTTTTTCACACATACAACCGTCGCAGCAACCCCATGTTCCCATGATCAAAATTCGGATGCTTGGTAATAGAGTCAGACTTATGGATGCTTGCAGTGCCCGGGGCTCATGGGATCCCCCTTTTGTGATCTTCTGACAGTGGGGAAACCAGATTCTCTTAAGAACCATGAATATATATTAGTAAGAAGAAGACTATCGAGCAATTAATTCTCAGGAATTCTGGGAGTTGGTCCACGAGTCATAAAAGAGCCAAGGTTGTCTACCCCTGGCATAGCTATTTCCTTTTTTTTTTTTTTTTTCTGGCAGCTGATGCAGCAGCAGACGGTCCTCTCAGCTTCCCACGGTAGTTTTCTCAGTCCCAGCCTCACTTTTTCGCCGTGCCACATCCAGCAGATCGGCACCGTCAGCTTGAACGGCCTGCCAGCCGCTCCGATTGCACCAACCTCAGGTACGTGTGGCTGCAGGGTTGATGAACCCAAAAGCGGACGGGAGGAGGTGCCAGCCCGAGGGAACCAGGCTGCAGGTTTCGTTTCATTTCATTTCATTCGATACGACTGTCTGACTCTGGTTGAGAAGAATTGAACTGATTGAGAAGTGTAAAACCAGCCTTGGAATATTGCATCCAGTTTTGGTCGCCACAATATAAGAGGAGAGCCAGACAGGAAGAAAAGAGAGCGAGCACATGTAGGGAGTGGGTTTTTATACCCTCTGGAGCCTTTTGTTTGGAGTTGTTTCCTGTTCCTGTTTGAGGCTATTTCCTGTGTCATGTATTCTGACCTGAGTCTGTCTGTGCCCTTTGGCATCTGTGGGTTAATCCTATTACCTCCTGTCTTAGAGTTTGGGTGGGGTAGGTAGATTTTAGGTGTCTTTGCCTTCTTAATCTTCTAGCTTCAACCTTCCTGAATGGTTTACATCTGCATTTCTACAGAGCTGGTTTCTGCTTGGGGGAGGGAGACTTGAGGCTATTAAGAAAAAACTGCTTTTCTGCCTCTTTAAGATCCTTTGAGGAAATATATTTCCCTGCCCTTTTAATATTTCCTTCTCTGGGGGACTGACTTCCCACAGAAGGTAAGGAAAGGGGGGGGAGGGGGATGAAAAGTAAACATAAAAGGATAAGATGATGACATAATAGAGAGGAAATGAAAAGGACAGAAAAAGAAAAACAAGTAAAAAAGGAGGGACGAGGGAGAGAAAATGTAGGAAGGGAAGGAGGGTTGGAGAAAGAGAAAGCAAGGAAGGAAGGAAAAAAGAAGGAGGGAGGAAGAAAAGAAAGAAAGAAAGAAAGAAAGAAAGAAAGAAAGAAAGAAAAAGAAAGAAAGAAAGAAAGAAAGAAAGAAAGAAAGAAATGAAAACGAAGGGAGAGAGGGAAGGAAGGAAACTAGAGGAAGGAAGGAAAGAAAGAAAGAAAGAAAGAGAAAGAAAGAAAGAAAGAAAGAAAGAAAGAAAGAAAGAAAGAAAGAAAGAAAGAAAGAAAGAAAAAGAAAAGCACCACCTTTTCCTCCTCCTGTCTTTTTATGTCTCCCTCCTGCAGGGTTACACTCACCTCCTCTGTTGGGCACAGCTGCTGTCCCAGGACTGGTCACCCCTATCAGCAACAGCTTTGCAGGAATGGTGGCCATTCCCAGCAGCCACCCTGCCTTGGAGACGGTTTATGCAAATGGGCTGGTCCCCTGCACAGGTAGGACCAAAAGGGGGAGACTGCAGGCCAGTCTCTCTCCACCCCCAGGGGAGGTTCATGTAGAGGTGAGGAACCACGGCCCTTTTATGACTGGTGGACTTCAACTCCCAGAATTCCTGAGCCAGCCATGCTGAGGGGAAAGGGAGAGGTTTCCAAGCTGAGCCATGCTGGCTCAGGAATTCTGGGAGTTGAAGTCCACGAGTCATAAAAGAGCCAAGGTTGCCTACCCCTATCCTAGGACGAAGATTAAGAGCAGGGGTCTTCAAACCTGGCTCTTTTATGACTCGTGGACTCCAACTCCCAGAATTCCTGAGCCAGCCATGCTGAGGGGAAAGGGAGAGGTTTCCAAGCTGAGCCATGCCGGCTCAGGAATTCTGGGAGTTGAAGTCCACGAGTCATAAAAGAGCCAAGGTTCCCCACCCCTGCTATAGACCAACTCTACATCTGGTGGAACTACTGGTTTGTACCTTTAGAGCAGGCACGCTGGCTGAGGAATTCTGGGAGTTGAAGTCCACAAGTCATAAAAGGGCCCAGTTTGAAGACCCCTGCTCTAGAACAGGAGTGGGGAACTGTGGCCCCTTTATGACTCGTGGACTTCAACTCCCAGAATTCCTGAGCCAGCCATGCTGAAGGACAGGGAGAGGTTTCCAAGCTGAGCCATGCTGGCTGAGGAATTCTGGGAGTTGAAGTCCACGAGTCATAAAAGGGCCATGGTTCCCCCACCCCTGAAGTGGAGGCAACTGGTTGCAAGAACCCCGGAGAGAAGAACAAGTTGGCCTGTGTCTTTTGTGTACAACTTTGTCCTGTGCCTATCCTGGTCCCCGCTGGAGAAAGTCAGAGGGTGTGGAGCAATTTCTATTTAACGGTCCTAAATGTACAGTATTTGCAAAGGGCCAAAATCTGAAGCTGTTTGCTTCTTGACAGGTGAATTGGGAAAGGGGTTACACTGAGAGTGGTGGGATCTGAGTTCTAATCCCCCTTCAGCCTCAGAAGCTCATTGATTAAATTTGGGGCTAGCCCCTCCCTCTTAGCCCAAGAGCCAATCAGATGTAGTAAGGGAGGGGCTGAACTAGGAGTGGGGAGATCTGGGTTCTAATCCCTCCTCAGCCTCAGAAACTCATTGGCTGCTTTGGGGGCAGCCCCTCCCTTTCGGCGCAAGAGCCAGTGAGGCGTACTAAAAGGGAGGAGCTGGAGTAAGAATGGGGAGATCTGGATTCTAATCCCTCCTCAGCCTCAAAAACTAATTGACTGATTTGGAGTCATTCCCTTCCCCTCAGCCCAAGACCCAGTCAGGTCCGGTGGAGAGGGGGCTGGACTAGGAGGCGAGAGACCTGGGTTCTAATTCCCCCCTCAAGCCCTCTGAGGAGTTTGAAATGGCTCCTTTTATTAGCAGAAACAACCTCAAAGGGTTGTGGTGATGAGAAGGGAATTGGAGGAGGGAATTCTGTACATGCTCCCAGGAGATCAAGCAGGATCTCCAATCAAATAGAGGAGGACCGATTCGGAGCATAGGATCGGAGGCCGAGTGCAGCACAGTTTTAGAACTGAGATGAAGCCCTGCACTGACACCACAGGGGGATTCTGGGAAAAGGAGATAGTTAATGCCCGTCTTCCCCACATCTGTGCCCTCACAGCATATGCCAGTACACGTAGTCCTCGACTTACAACCATTTGTTTAGCGACGATTCAAAGTTACAACGGCATGGGAAAAAGCGGCTTACGACCATTTTTCACACCAACAACCTTTGCAGCCATCCCCAAGGTCACGTGGTCAAAATTCGGAAGCCTGGCAACCGGTTCATATTTACGCCGGTCGCAGTGCCCTGGGATCATATGATCCTCTCTTGCGACGTTCTGTCAAGCAGAGTAAATAGGAAAGTCAAATCCACTTAATCAACCGTGTTACTCACTTAGCAAATGCAGTGATTTGCTTAACTGTGGCAAAAAAAGGTCGCAAAATGGGACAAAAACTCACTTAACAACCGTCTCGCTTAAGAACAGACGTTTCGGGCTCAATGGTGGATGTAACTTGAGGACTATGTGTGGCAGCTTCCCTTGAGCAATGGTGGATATCATGAGGGGGGCGGGTGTTGGGCCTTCTCTTTTTCATCTTGGTTTTCTCAATATTATTTTGAACCTGCAAAGTTTAATCAAACATTTTTTTAAAAAAAACAACGACATACAAGTGTTGGAATTTCAAACTCCATTGGTTCGGATTTTTCCCCCTCCATTTTTCTCGTACAACTATTTTTGTCGATTTTTCTAATTGTTAAAAAAAAGAAGAAGAAATCAAATCTCTCTCTTTTTTAGCCCAAAACTCCTCCGTTGCTGAGACCTTGCATCCGACTTTCACGGGAGTCCAACAATATGCAGGTAACATGGCTGACATAATCCTGTTCGGATGGTTTTCCCCTGGCTGTAATGGGGGGCTTTGGGGGAGAGGGAAGGGTGTTAAAGGGCAGTTTGGGAAGAGGGACTGAGAGGCAGTGAAGGCACCAGGATAGAAGCCAGGAGACAGTGAGTTCTAGTCCCGCCTTAGGCATGAGAGCCGGCTGGGTGACTTTGGGCCAATCACCAAGAGATGGTGAGTTCTAGTTCCGCCTTAGGCATGAAAGTTGGCTGGGTGACTTTGGGCCAATCACCAGGAGACGGTGAGTTCTAGTCCTGCCTTAGGCATGAAAGCCAGCTGGGTGACTTTGGGCCAATCACCAGGAGATTGTGAGTTCTAGTCCTGCCTTAGGCATGAAAGCCAGCTGGGTGACTTTGGGCCAATCACCAGGAGATTGTGAGTTCTAGTCCTGCCTTAGGCATGAAAGCCAGCTGCGTGACTTTGGGTCCATCAGTAGGAGATGGTGAGTTCTAGTCCTGCCTTAGGCATGAAAGCCGGCTGGGTGACTTTGGGCCAATCACCAGGAGATGGTGAGTTCTAGTCCCGCCTTGGGCCAGTCCCCCTCTCTCAGCTCATCTGACCTCACAGGATGGTTGTGAGGAAAATAGGAGGAATGAATATTAGGTCTTTTCGCTGCCTTTTGCTATTTATATTGTAAAAATAATGAAGATGGGATGAAAAAAATCTAAAATTAAAAAGTGTTCTAAGTCTGGTGGGAAGGAGAGGGAGAGAGAGGGGGAGGAGAGGGAGAGGGAGAGAGGGTAGATAGATAGACAGTTCTCTATTCTATTCTATTCTATTCTATTCCATTCCATTCCATTCCATTCCACTCCACATATTCTATTCTATTCTATTCTATTCTATTCTATTCTATTCTATTCTATTCTATTCTATTCTATTCCACTCCACATATTCTATTCTATTCTATTCTATTCTATTCTATTCTATTCTATTCTATTCTATTCTATTCCACTCCACATATTCTATTCTATTCTATTCTATTCTATTCTATTCTATTCTATTCTATTCTATTCTATTCCATTCCATTCCATTCCACTCCACATATTCTATTCTATTCTATTCTATTCTATTCTATTCTATTCTATTCTATTTTATTCTATTCTATTCTATTCTATTCTATTCTATTCTGCTGAAACGGGAATTTATTCACTGGTGACCTCCGTCTCCTTCCTTCCACCCCTTGCAGCTGTCTATCCTGCCACTGCCATCACCCCTGTCGCACAGGCCATCCCTCAGCCTCTTCCAATAATTCAGCAGCAACAGCGAGAAGGTAGGTAGGTCTTCTCCCACAGGGACGTGATGGGGGAAGAGGAGCAGGCAGCCTGTGTTTTTGATGCTGGTGGAGACCCCCCCCCAAAATGTCCTGGACTAAGGTCCCCTACAAAGCAGGAAGCCTGTCTAATTGTGTCCGTACCCCATCACAGGCAGAAGAGATATGGCTGGGGAAGTGTGCTCAGATGGAACTGATCATTCTTGTTCATTCCTAAAACGTCTACCCTGGTGCTCCATTCCAGCTGGCACATAATTTAAACCCATGGCAACCCCACCACGTTATCTACCCTACGGGTAGATAAGGCAGGTCTAGACCTTGTTGTTGTTAGTTGCGAAGTCGTGTCCAACCCATCGCAACCCCATGGACAACGTTCCTCCAGGCCTTCCTGTCCTCTATCATCTTCTGGAGTCCATTTAAGCTCAGGCCTCCTGCTTCAGTGACTCCCTCCAGCCACCTCATTCTCTGTTGTCCCCTTCTTCTCTTGCCCTCCATCTTTCCCAGCATTAGGCTCTTCTCCAGTGAGTCCTTCCTTCTCATTAGGTGGCCAAAGGACTTGAGTTTCAACTTCAGGATCTGGCCTTCTAAAGAGCAGTCGGGGTTGATCTCCTCTAGGACTGACCGGTTTGATCGCCTTGCAGTCCAGGGGACTCGCAGGAGTCTTCTCCAGCACCCTAGTTCAAAGGCCTCAATTCTTTGGCGCTCAGCCTTTCTTATGGTCCAGCTTTCACAGCCATACGTTGCAACTGGGAAAACCATGGCCTTGACTATACGCACTTAACATCTCCCAAATGGATGCTCCCAAAGCCCAGTTTCCACAATCCTTTGGAAACCCGCCCGAGGAATGCTGGCCCATATGCAGGAATGTAGGTTGCTCTACAGCAGGGTTCTCCAAACGTGGCAGCTTTAAGACTCGTGGACTTCAACTGTGGCCGGCTGAGGAATTCTGGGAGTTGAAGTCCACGAGTCTTAAACTTGCCAGGTTTGGGAGAGCCCTGGCCTAAGGAAATGCAGCCTTTCCAACCGATGTGATGCAATTGTAAGTCCCAGAACGATCCAATAGGAAAGTCATTTCTGAAATACGACATTACAGCTGTTGTATCAGCAACCTCTGGGCGCTAACAAAACCAATTTTGAGCTGGTCCTGTTGGGTCAGCAGACAGATTCCTTGGGTAGAATTTAAGGGAGGTGATCAAATCCTATTGTTCTATCCCAGCCTATAGCCGTCCTTGTTAAAGGCACAAGGACCAAACCCTTGTTGAGAAAATAGGCTGGAGACTTAAAACAAAACAAACCCCTTTTAATATGAGTGACAAATCTGCCAAATAGTCCAGAAACAAAAGCAGCAAAACACAATCCAAATGGAGGAAATTGTCCACACGAAACACGATGCAAACAGAAAAGTAGTCACCGGCAATACTAACAGAACATGATCCCATGAAGTACTTTGCAACGGTTGCCTTCAGCAACCAGCACCGCCCACACCCTCCCTTTTTATACAGCAGTCCCAAGGCGTTGCCTCTCAGTGCCTTCTCCTCTTCCCCTGGAGTTGTCGTATTGACTGCTGCTGATCTGCTCTCGCTAATTGCCGGCGTGTACGAGCATCAATCAGCATGTCCATCAGGTGTGAGTCCTCCAAGTCTGACTCATTCTCCCCACACAGCTGAGCTTCATCAGGAACACGACTGGAGGGCCCAGGCTCTTCCTCAAACCGTGAGTCCTGTAATTCATCAGAGCCTCCCTCTGACCCTGATGGCCCTTCAAATGCCTCCTCCACCTCCTCCTCAGATTCCCCAGACTCAGCTGTTGGGAACACAGGCTGGCACGGAATCACGACACCTATTACATGATTTGCTGCAACTCCGAAGGGTGCTGGAAGTGATCCGAAGCTGAGCTGTTATATGGCAGAGCCATATAATGAATTCCTGATTTGGGGACAACTCTGAGCAGAGTCTGGATAGGTAGGCGCTTCAGGGTGGGCTTTTGCATTGGTCTCCGTACCCCTTTGAAACTCCACGATGTTATGTGAAGATTTAACAATGTAAGCGGGCAATGTTTCTTCACATTTGATAATCCTCGGCTCTGGTTTAAGCTCCGAAGTAGATCTTAACGAGCGAAGAGACAGAGAAACAAATCTGTGGTCATCTTCTCATCTTTAATGGCCAAGCAGGGATCAGAACTTAAACCTCCCAAATCCTGGATAATCTGGATTAGGTTAAAAACGGAGGTAGCTAGATTGTGATTTATGCTCTTGCCTTAATATGCGGAGGAAACCAGGTTATGGCCTGAAGCTCTGGTATGATTTTGTTTGCTTGGGAAAAACAACAACAACAACAACAACCATAATAAAAAGTTGGAAGGGATCTTGGAGGTCATCTAGTCCAACCCCCTGCTCAGGCAGGAAACCCCACACCATTTCGGACAAATGGCTGTCCAGTCTCTTCTTAAAAACTTCCAGTGTTGGAGCATTCACCGCTTCTGGAGGCAGGTAGTTCCACTGGTTAACTGTTCTCACTGTCAGGAAGTTTCTCCTTAGGTCTAGGTTGCTTCTCTCCTTGATGAGTTTCCATCCGTTGCTTCTTGTCCTGCCTTCAGGTGCCTTGGAGAATAGCTTGACTATACATTAAGTAAAAGCAGACAGTACTGTTCATCCAGCTTTAACACAGGTGGTCCTTGACTTACCTGTCTTAAAGTTCTTGAAGTTGAGAAACAGTGGTTTAGACTACATTTTGATGTCATCTTTTCCCCTTCAGACAAAACCCACTCGGTTTTAACCCATACTACGCATTGTCTTTTCCAACTACAGGTCCAGAAGGCTGCAATCTCTTCATCTACCATCTGCCCCAAGAGTTTGGGGACAACGAACTGATGCAAATGTTTCTTCCCTTTGGGAATATCATTTCCTCCAAAGTGTTTATGGATCGGGCCACGAACCAGAGCAAATGTTTCGGTGAGTGAGCAGGGAGGGAGGGAAGGAAGGAAGAAAGATGGGAGGCAGGGAGGAAGGAAGGAAGGAGGGAGGGAGGGTGGAAGGAAGGAAGGAAGGAGGAAGGGAGGGAGGGAGGGAGGAAGGAAGGATGGATGGATGGATGGAAGGAGGGGGAGGGAGGGGGGAGAAAAAAGATGGAAGTCAGGGAGGAAGGAAGGAAGGAAAGAAGAGGAAGGGAGGGAGGGAGAGAGATAGGGAGAGAGGGAGGGAGGAAGAAAGGAAAAGAAGGAAGGAAAGAGGAGGGGAGGGAGGAAGGAAGGAAGGAAAGAAGAAAGGAGGGGAGGGAGAGAGGAAGGAAGAGGAGGAGGGGGGAGGGAGGAAGAAAGGAGATGAAAGGCAGGGAGGAAGGAAGGAAAGAAGAGGAAGGGAAGGAGGGGGAGAGAAGAGGAAGGAAGGAAGGAAGGAAAGAAAGAAAGAAAGAAAGAAAGAAAGAAAGAAAGAAAGATCTTCCATGGGGGAGAAGTAAGAAACTGAGGGAAATAATCTTCAGGTAATGTTGTGTAGCTTTGAAAAACACAATTTGTGCATATCATTAAGAAGAGAGACGGGCGACAGGTGTGCTAAACATTTTGAGGTCAGAATATCCAGTTTTGGAATCCTAGCTCCAAAAGTCCATTGTAGACCAACTAGATCCCTCTGGGTGCTTGCAAGCAAGAGACGGACCCCTAAATCTCTCTTCCATCATTCGTCTACAGCTGGTACAGGTAGTCCTCGATTTATGACGGGTCACTTAGTGACTGTTCGAAGTTCCAGCGGAGCTCCCTAGGGGCTACCTATAACCTGAATTCGAAATTCTGACGGTCAGGCCCCCTTGGTGGCCATGTGACCGAACTTGGGGCACTCTTCAACAGAAACACCCCCCCCCCCGTTTACGGCTGTTTCCATCGTCCCAAGGTCCCGTGACTGGGTTTAGCACAGTTTTGCTGAAAACGGTCCTTCACTTCCTGTTTGGGGCAAAGCCACACCCACAACAAAGCATTGGTTTGCTTAACAACTGCAGTGTTCCCTTAACGCAGGGGTCTTCAAACTTGGCCCTTTTATGACTCGTGGACTTCAACTCCCAGAATTCCTGAGCCAGCCATGCTGAGGAGAAATGGAGAGGTTTCCAAGCTCAGCTATGTTGCCTCAGGAATTCTGGGAGTTGAAGTCCACGAGTCATAAAAGAGCCAAGGTTGCCTACCCCTGGACTTGGATGAAGATTAAGAGCAGGGGTCTTTAAACTTCGCCCTTTTATGACTCGTGGACTTCAACTCCCAGAATTCCTCAGCCAGCCATGCTGAGGAGCAATGGAAAGGTTTCCATGTTGAGCTAATGTTGCCTCAGGAATTCTGGGAATTTAAGTCCACGAGTCATAAAAGGGCCAAAGTTGCCTACCCCTGCCTTAACGAATACAGGTAGTCCTCGACTTACAAATAATCCTTTAGTGACCATTCCAAGTTACAACACCATTGAAAACAGTGACTTCTGACCGCTTTTCACACTTACAACCCTTGCAACATCCTCCGTGATCACGCGATCAAAATTCAGACTCTTGGCAACTGACTCATACTTAGGACGGTTGCAGCGTCCCGGGATCACGTGATCCCCTTTTGCAACCTTCTGACAGGCACAGTCAAGGGGGAATGCCAACTCTTAACGACTGTGTTCCTAATTTAACGACCGCAGTGATTCACTTAACAACTGTGGCAAGAAAGGTCATAAAATGGGGCAAAACCCACTTAACAATTGCCTTGCTTAGCAGTGGAAATTTGGGGTTCAGATATGGACTAGGGGGGGACGTGATAGCAGTCTTCCAATATCTGACAGGCTGCCACAAAGAGGAGGGGGGGTCAATTTATTGTCCAAAGCACCAGAAGATAGGAGGAGAAGCATGGAAACTAATCAAGGAGAGAAGCAACCTAGAACTAAGGAGATATTTCCTGACAGTGAGAACAATTAACCAGTGGAACAACCTGCCTCCAGAAGCGGTGAATGCTCCAACACTGAAGGTTTTTAAGAAGAGGTTGGACAGTCACTTGTCTGAAATATAACTGACCTGTTTTACCACTGTCACCAGTTTCAACCGTGATGGGCTGGCTCCAATACGGTCATAACTCGAGGACTAGCTGTCCCTGCAGACACTCAGAGACACATGCACCCCCACCAAACAAGCACCTGAGGTATTACAAAATGGATTCTTTCTCTCCTTTCTCAAGGCTTTGTGAGTTTCGACAATCCGTCCAGTGCCCAAACTGCCATCCAGGCCATGAACGGATTCCAGATCGGGATGAAAAGGCTAAAGGTCCAGTTGAAACGGCCAAAGGATGCTGGCCAGCCCTACTGACAGGTGATTGGGGGGGGGAGGCAAGGAAACCGATGGTCTTGCACAGGGGTCTTCAAACTTGGCCCTTTGATGACTTTGTGGACTTCAACTCCCAGAATTCCTCAGCCAGGCACGCTGGCTGAGGAATTCTGGGAGTTGAAGTCTACAAAGTCATCAAAGGGGCAACTTTGAAGACCCCCCTGGTCTTGCAGGTAAAAGAAGGAGCTTGAATGCCTTGACAAATCCGTCGAAAATTATTTTCCTGCTTCTAATGCAGTGTGGCTCAACCTTGGCAACTTTAAGAAATATAGACTTCATTTCCCAGAATTCCCCAGCCAGCATTTGTGGACTTCAGCTCCCAGAATTCCCCAGCCAGCATGCATGGATTTCAACTGCCAGAATTCCTGTCAGCATGCGTGGACTTCAACTCCCAGAATCCCCCAGCCAGGTTGCATGGTCTTCAACTCCCAGAATTTCCCAGCCAACATCCATGGATTTTGACTCCCAGAATTCCTGTCAGCACGTGTGGACTTCAGTTCCTAGAATCCTCTAGCCAGCATGCATGGATTTCAACTGCCAGAATTCCTGTCAGCATGCGTGGACTCCAACTCCCAGAATCCCACTTCCAGAGTCCCCCAGGCCAGTTGCACGGACTTCACCTCCCATAATTTCTCAGCCAACATCCATGGATTTCGACTCCCAGAATCCATTAATAATCTTTTCCTTTACATTGATCACAGTTGGCTTCTTAAGCTATGCATAACCAGCAGTTAGACTCAGTAGTTAACTGTAGATCAATGTTTTTGAACGTTGGCTTCTTTAAAATGTGTGGACTTCTACTCCCAGAATTCCCCAGACAGCCATGCTGGAAGTTAAAGTCCATATATCTTAAAAGTGGCCACAGTTGAAAAACAATGACAGATTTTCTTTGTGTGTTTAGTTATTATAATAATCTATACTGATGTTTCTCAACATTGGCAACTTTATGATATGTGGACTTCAACTCCCAGAATTCCTCAGCCAGCTATGCTGACTGGGGAATTCTGGGAGTTGAAGTCCACATATCTTAAAGTTATCAAGGTTGACAGACACTGATTTATGCCATTCGAATATTTAAATATCTTCTTTGAGAATATTTTTTTTTTACTTCTCAGACTTGAGGTGTTCTCAAGTTTTCTTCACCTCCAGTGTTGGATTAACTCAACCAAGGTTATCCAATCATTACAAGCTACTATTCCTGGCTTAAAATATATATATATTGAGGATGAAATGAGGTTTTGTTTCTTCGTGATTCTGCTCGGGGTCCAAGGCCAAGTCAGGTTTTAGGACGACGAGAATGAAACAAACCAGAACATTGTACAAAATGGAAAAATTGACATGAGTAAACGAGAGTCAATTGGTTCGCGGTTCTTGATTGAGGATGACAAAGTGTGTCTTGAGCTTCTCAAGAAACTCAACCGCATTAATGGAGCCTATTTTTGACTTCATTTTCTTTGTGCATAATGTGATTTCACACATGCCCGTCCAGGTTTTTCTTTAATTACCTTTTTTCTGAAGATGAAATTGGCTAAGTGCTACAGTTTCCTTTTCACTGTTTTTGATTATGGAGATTTCATACCAGTATATGGTTTCCAGTTCCATTCTCCACCCATTTTCCTTCCTTCCTTCCTTCCTTCCTTCCTTCCTTCCTTCCTTCCTTCCTCCCTCCCTCCCTCCCTCCCTCCCTCCCATCAAACTCTTTCCTTCTTTTAACCTCATCTTCCTTCCTTCCCTCCTTCCTTCCTTCCTTCTTTCCTTCCTTCCTTTCTTTCCTTTCTTCTCTTTCTGTCATTCCTTCCTTCCATCCTTTCCCTTCCTCTCTTCT